GTGTACAATTTGCCATACCGCAAACAACCAAAGATGCTTATGTTATCATAATCGCTGTGTCGTATACCAATATTATTATTAATGGACTTTGAAGAGCTTTCGAAACAGCAACAATATGCTTCATCAAGCAAATGCTTATGTCTGTCTACATAATGAAAGAGTAATGCGCTAACACTCTGCTACTAATAATATCATAGTCAAGAATGCTCTTACTGTGAATTTGCCTTCAGTCCTTCAATAACACTGGAATCAGTAGCCCAATACTGTACAAACAGTCGATGCTAAAAAACGACGGATATATTAAATACAGAGAGACGGTCTATCCAAATAGTGTGTTTTCCTTGTTGATCAAATAGACACTGAATGTGTTTTTAAATACACAGCCTAGTGTAATAATATCAGCACAAAGTAAATTGCATCTCGTCTATTTGGACTTCTTTGTCATTATCGTGAACTGCTTTCAATAGTTCGTGCTTGGCGCGCGTCGTAATTACTCGTGTAGAAAAATTGTGATGTGTTCGACCGTCGCTCAAATGATCTGTTTCATTTATATTCCATATGCAGACCATTTTAATCAGACTGGCCTGAGGAGTGACGTAACTTATTTGCTATCGCACTGGTTATTCTGTCGTTCACGTCGGTGTGAATCAATAATTCCATTTTCATAAAATAATGGCGAAATGCAAACAAAATATAAACAATTGTATGATTTCTCTGAGCTAAGCAATAGTCAATGGTGTATCTAAGGTCCAATGTATGATTGACATAATACAGGCAAAATAAAAACAAAATTCTAAAGAATTCATTTTTTTTAGAAAGATTTTTTCCAATGCTATAAAAGACATGCCGGTGGGGATGATAAACTAATCAATTTTTTATTGGACATAAATAAGCTGGTGACGGGGTTAGGGTGGTGGTGCAAGTCTTTCATTTCGTGTCACATGGGGATAAGGAGCGAAATTAAAAGTTGTTCAAATACTGCCCATAGTCATAAGGTAAAAAAAATGTGAAAAATTCTGAAGCCTAATTTATAAAATATTTTAAGTAACCCAGTCTACCAATTCTACATAAATTTTATTTTTCTGCCCGACGGATAGTCAGGGGTGAACCCAGCGGGGGAGGGGCTTTAGGCCAACTTCGGCCACGAAAATGTATGGAGCGCCCTTTGAGTGCTTTGCCGATTGGAAGTTGAATGCGCGCTATTGTTTGTCACGCTGATATACAGTGTTGAATGAGCGCTATTATATCTATTCAATTCTTAACCTCAAATTCAGAAACACTCAAGCTTACATTGTTACAGATAGGCCTATACACACAGAACATGTCGCAACACTTAATATTATTAAAATTTCACTGATAAAATTATATAATTTGTGAAAAAAAATCGTAACGAATTAAACATGGCGAACTTTGCGCTGCCACTTACACCATGGTTAACACAAGCAACATATTTGCAAGATTTTTAAACATTTTGACGATAATAACGAAAGGTCCACTGATTAATCTCAGGTAAGAAAGTATAATACATACTCCAAGTATTGAAATACACGCCATCGTGTTGGGAATCAATATTTCGACATTAATTATGTCATCGTCAGGAATGATGATGACATAATTAATGTCGAAATATTGAATCCCAACACGATGGCGTGTATTTCAATACTTGGAGTATGTATTATTATACTTTCTTGACGATAATAATAATAGTTAAAGGTAAACATCATTGCTTGTTATCGATTATAGATCTCATTCTTTACATGTGCACTTGTTTACTATTCAGTAATGTAAATATAAAGACCTGAATTTTAAATCACCAATAAATTAAATATTTGATTGAGTAAATTAATTGATTGGCTTTAATGATATAAAGTGTATGTACATTAAGGGCTTGAGAATAGAGAGATATTCCTAAAGAATTCTTATTGACTAATGATTGACAAATTTACTCTAGATTTCTTTTTCCAATTCTTGTAAATAACACACTTTCATCACCCTCGCTAATGTGTTATTTTACATCCGATCGTGTATGAAAAGATAAAATGAACAGACAACAGACATAAAAATAAAATTATTAAAAAAAATGTTTTATTTTGTGAATAAAGGACGAAATTTGTGCACGTGTATCATTCTAAATTTTATTTGACGAAATTCTATTTTGTGGATAAAGGAAACTGACGAAATATGAATAAAAATACAGTAAAAAATGCGTTTTGTTTTGCGTTTTGTTTTGTATATACATACAATACCTAAAATAAATACGTAAATATTACTGTGCGACATGACAGATTATTTAGTTTAATAAGTTAGGCATATGCCACCACAGCATGCGGTGTGGAGAAATGCCCAACTGGCGCTCCATATAAATCTCGCGCGGCCGGAAATAATAATAATAATAATGATAATAATAATAATAATAATAATAATAATATTAA